AGACGACTTATAGAGCTCAGAAAAGTGAATTCAAATAGCAGCGACTTGAAAACCAGCAAACTTAACAGCTCTATGCGACTTATCGCTTGAAAAGCACCGTGAGTCTTATGTTGATATTCAAGCACAGGTAACTTCGCTCAAAAATCTTTAGAACTAACAATTGTGAAATGCTATCGAAGAATGTGTAAATAGCTTCTTCTTGCCGTTCAAGTACTATCCATGGTCGGTATATACAATATTTGAACAGATAAAATGTTGTCATGGATTTATATAAGAATGAAAATATTTTCAACTTGCATTTAGTAATACTTCAAAAGAACGTTTGCATACATTGTGACCAGAAAGTTTCCGGAAATCGTAAATAAAACAAAAAAAGTTTAATCCTAACTGGCACTGTACGCGATCGCCTTCAGTTCCCTTTGCGAATTTTATTTTACGGCCTCAATCGAATCGAAACGGGTTCCACGGAGTGGTAACTTAAATTTTGAAAACAAAAAAAAGTCGCAAATCCAAATCCAAATCCGGTGAATACGGTAGTTTATCAATGGTATTGAAGGAGATTTTGGTCTTCAAATCGTTCACAACTACAGCTCGGTGCGGTCTTTTTGCAAAAAATTCAGCTCTTTTCGAACAAGCTGAGCATTGACGCGTCTCATGCCCAAATTATCGGTCAACACTCGTTAGACGATTTTCGAGCACGATTTCCTTCACTTTTTTAATGGTATCGTAAGTGGTAGACGTCGAAGGATGACCGGAACGAGGCATGTGCTCGACGGTTTCTCGACCATCCTTAAAAGCTTTGTAGTAGTTGTAGTCTTGGGTTTTCGATAGAATAGATTCACCATAAGCCTTTTCTAACATTAGCAACGATTCCGCATATGAAATTTGCTTCGAAACACAAAATTTGTTGCAAATTGTTTGTTCAATATTGTTTTCTATTGTAAAAATCCCAAAATACTACTGAGGTTGACTGACTTTTGGCATAGTAATTAAGGACAGTGCTACCAAGTTAACAAAAAAAAGTTTAAATGAAAATTCCCGGAAACTTTCTGGTCACAATGTATGTACATATCTTTAACATCTGCAAACATTCACATTTGGGTATAAAAAAATGTAGCAAGAAATATAAAAAATACTTATTTAGTATTTCTTTAACAGCCATTCTTGCTTTATTTTTTACGCTTAATCAGATACAAATATTGTAATGTTTGCTGTAAAAAATTTAATGATTACATAATAACGTAACATTATGAGATTCATAATTTTGTTTATGCATTTTCGGTAACGGTTTTATTTCCTTCCGTTTATACGTCTTTCGAATATATAGAAAATAGAAAAAAAAATAAAACAGATTGAAGTATGAAATGTTCAAACAAAATAATACAAGTATGTTACTCTACCACGTAATATTTGCTCAAAAAGAAATCAAATATAATTGCTTTGTATGTATATTTTTCAGGAGTAGATATTAGTTGCAAATTGTTTAAGTTTTTTGTTTATAAAACTTACTGAAAATGCGCGATATATTCTTCTCACGGCAAAAAGGGAATCGCCTTCTCTAGAGCTGCCACTTCCAGGTGCTTCCTTACAACCGTTTCACTGCTCACTATGTTTGTGTTAGCTCTCTTGCCAAACAGTTAGTCGGGAAAGCAACAATTGAGTTGCGAAGTTGAACTTAATACAAGAGAGTATGCGTATTAGGGTGGGTAAAATAAAAATCCGAATTTTTTTCTTGGTACTCTGAAAATTGGTCGATAGACACTTCTAAGAAAAACTCTCCAACTCTGAGCTCTTAATTGTAACGGGAAGGTCCGCCGACTAACGGAATTCTATTTTTTTCTTATTATCAGATAGAAAAAAGTATATCTCGCTTCCAACTACTCGCAAACCTATTTCGTTTGGTAGATTTTGTAGGAAATTAAATGCTCTGCAAAATATTCTCTGATGGATTTTTTTGTAAACTAAACCATTGAAAAGATATTGACGGTTGAAGTTTGACTATATTAAAGCAAATTGGTTTTTTTCTTTTGAATTTTATAACTCAATGAAAAAACATCATTTCAAATTGCAAATGTTATAGTCTTATAAGATGCACATATGTAAATCAAGAACTTGAAAGCGAGATATGAATTATTCTATCTGATAAAAAAAAAAAATAGATAACTGTAAAGCGGGGGAACTACCCGTTACAATTAAGACCTCATACCTACAGTGCCTTTCTAACAGTTGTCTATCAATCAATTTTTCAGAGTACGAAGTGAAAAAGAAAATAACATTCGTTTTTTGAACCACTTCAATGTGTGTACCACATAAAAATGTTGGAAACTCTTTCCAAAAATGCTATTTATTGATTTTCGCTATTTCATTTAAGTCAATTGTTTGTTCGATTTGCCAAACGACCAGTTTTGCAAAACTAAAGACTGCTAGCATTAGCTAAGATTCAATATATTCAGCATATATTGCAGGGCGTGAACAGACTGCCGACATGAATGTTAAAACATCTTCTTTATTGAGCTTATTGCCACAGATCCCAGAGGTGCATTATGGAGAAAGCTAGCGCGATTTTTCCGTGCTAAAATTTTATGATGTGTAGGTATGCATAGTACATATTTTTAATGGAAATCAACGTTTTACTAAACAATAAAATATCCATTGCACGAATCATACAAAAACAAAGTGAGCGCAAAGAAAAAAATCGCAAACTTTTATGCAAGTGTGTGTGTTCCTTTACAAAGTGTATGTATGTATGTACATATATGTATGTATATGACGCATGTAAGTGCTAAACGAAACTTTTCTTTCAAACACTTTTTATAGCTTGTCAAAAACCTATTTAACGCATTTGATGAAAATGATTTTTATAGCGGTACTTTTTGATTTTACGACTACACAAGAAGGCGAAAATGGTGCAGGAGAGTTAGGAGAGGCAGCGTAACATAAGTGTACCGCGCACTGCGACAAATAGCTGCACTCCCACCAAGCCGAATGACACGGTCGTAAAACAACGAAAGAAAATCAGGTGACACGTCAAAAATTGCGATTCTGATTTTCGCCGCGTAACATCGCATTTGTTGCGGTTTTTCGCCTTGAAAAGATTGTAGTAAATATATGATGCATTGCAAGTGGGGTTAATGTGGATCGGTGGCGTGACATTCAACTAGAAATTTTAATAATAAAATATATTTTTGTGCAAATTTTTTTTAAATTTATGCATTTTGCATGCCTCCTAGGATACTTTAACCATCAGCCGCTATTTTACAAGGATTATCTAAACCATTTGCCGTTCTGGCTTCACTCCTAAATTCTCTCATTGTCAAATTATGTGACATCTTGGCAACGCTGACAAACTGCCTGTTACCTTAAATTTCACTGAAATTCGCCAGCCAGCAGCATTAGTAAAGCTCGTAAACTAGAAGGGTTCGCCTGGACTGGGTGGATGAGTTTTATGTAGTTATAGTATATTGGTAAAGCTCACTTATGTGCCTTGTAGAGATATGGCAACTTAATATATTGCTTTCCAGAACCTATTTGCGAGCTATCAAATTTTTATTCAGCGATGTTGATACCTCCTTCAGTCAAGTAGTTTTCCTGCATTTTTATTTGGTGGCCTGCCGTGCGCCAATGGGTAGCTCACCGTTTGATCCATCACTCTATTAACGCAAAAATAAGTTTTTGCAAAAGCTGTCACTCTCGGTAATAATTACTATCTATGTATATTACCCCTGAAAAACTTCTTAGACTTGTAGACTGCTTAAAACTTGCATAATCCACTTCTTGCCGAATAAGTCCCACACCATATATGACATTAGAAGTTTATTGAATTATCTAGTATAGGTATATAGGTATATCCGCCAGTTAAGTAAACGCTTAAACTACCTTCGGTGCATTTATGGAGTTTTCGGGTTCAAAACTAAACTTTGTAATAATAGTAAAAGTTATATTTTAAAAATATTTTGATCCCTTGAAAACCAGAACTTAACGCATCTACCCAGTAATACCTCTACCACTGTGGAACTTATAAACAATTTCCTGCAGGTTCTGCATTTTGAAATGAGTTCCATAGAAGCGTGTGTGTGTGAGCTGAGCCAAGCGGAGCACGGAAGCACACCAAACATGTCTCATTGTTAATATGAAAAGTGCATATGTGGTTTCTTGTTACCTTGCCAAATTCATTTGACCAGAAACTTAAGTTTCATTTTGGAAACCCGCCAATTGGTAAAGATTTCGGTAAACACACACACACACACATGTACACATGTGGTGAATAGCAGCACGTAACGTGTGCAACGCATCAATAGCTTTATGTATTGTCTTTCAGCTATTCGGCGCTTTTAGGGTCCGCGCCGTTAATTTTCGTTTTTTTTTCTTTTGGTTTTTGGTGAGACAAAAAGCTTTTGGCCCTAAATGCACACATCGGTGAGATCAATGTCAAAAATTTACCCGCTGGTGCATATGTTTCTGTCGTCGTATGGAGAACGCTACAAACGTACGCATGTATTACGTATATATTCTATGCTGAGCTCCGTTTTAGCTCTTTTTTGCTTTGACCGGCAAATTTTATTTGTGATGCACTTTGAAATGCGATTATGGAAAAATTATAGCGACACTGTATCCACTCCGTCTGCGTTATACATACATATATATATGTTAGTTTATTTGTATGAAGATTACATAAGCAAATATGGATTATTCCGTAATAGCCATAGCTGATATCAGCTAGAACCGATTAGTACGATGTCACGGCAATAAGGTCTGTATTACCGTCACAACAATACATTGGAGGAACAACTTCTTCGCCTGCTTTTCACTCAGAATTCGTCAGCAATGGAAAAGGAACAAATGCTCAGCAACTGCTGAGTAACATTATTTGTGATCATGAATTATTCAGAAAGGTTTACTCGGACTCGCTGTGACTAGTTCCTCTTTTCAAAAGCAAAGCAAAAAAAAGTTTGCTGAAAAGCAAAAGTCTCCTTGCTCTTTGAAAACACCTTGTATGCACACTAGCTTATAATAATAAACAGGTAACGCACCCTGTATTACACTTTCTATGCGTTCCAAGTTAAGCGATTTTAAACTTTTTTTACTAAATGACAAATCAGTCACAATTTTTGTTTCATTTAAAAAATTCTAATTCATAAACGATATTTTTTTTCGTTAGTTTAAGGAAATAAAAGCAAAACTAAAAATTCAATTTACTTTAAATAGAAAGCGAGTAAAAAAGTTGAAAACTTGATCGAAACGCCGACAAAATTTGATCAACAATAAAGCCTTTAGTCGAATAAAAAAATTCCAGTTCTGTGATGGACATGATAATCGAGCATATTTTGAATTTCCTGCAATTCGATGTGAGTAGCATTTTCGGGAAAGGTAGTGAGTGTGGGCTCTGTTGCATGAGCTTTTCCACGCCGCATTTCAGCGAGTCTGCCGAGCGGTGCATTGCAAATGTCTACGAGCCACGTCCACAAATCACAAATGGCGACGAAATGATGGAGTGTGACGACGAGGATAGCTTGGATGAGAACGATCTACAATTGGAGGCATTCTGCCGAGAGCTAGAGCAAGTGGAAGAAGAAGAGGAGGAGACGGATACTCAGGGCTGCGACACTAACTCGAGCCCGCTGCAAGAGAGTAGCAACGAAAGTTTGACAGAGAGTGACTGCCTGTTGGATAATTTTAAGAATGAGCAATGGTGTACGGAGAACGATGAAAACTCGATGGAGGCTGAAGACGAGTGCACCTGTGAGCTGGTATGCAAGCAGGTGGTGTCAAAAATAGCCGATAAATGTTCCTCATCGACAATGCTGGAATTGCGAAGTATTGAGGAGCGAGCCAATAAATTGTGGGAAGCGCTAAACGCGAATGTGCGCAACAATACGTGCTCGAAAATGCCCAACTGGTGGGATCTGAAGACTTGGCAGAAGCTGCCATTCTACTGGGCAGCATTGTCCAATGACATACTCTGCGAGGACCCCTTCGAGAATTTCAAGCGCTTTTACATGGGCAGCAAGAAGTCCAACAAACGCAGCGCCAAGCGTCAGATGGAGCGCATGCTCATTCTATGGCACCGACTGTGCCCCAAGCAGCGCTTGCCATTCATCATGGAGGCTTTCATCAGCAAGGTGGGTGCTGGGAAGGTAAACATCAGCGATGAGCACGAAATTCAACGTATCATCTGTGAGCTGCAGAACAAATGAGCAGTGAGACACCTCTTCCTCCTCCTCTTTACTGTATATGTTTGTGTAGCGCTCTATGTGTATGTGTGTGTATGTTGTCCAAATATTTTAATTTAAATCGAAGAAGTGCATGCGGGTATTCTAAATAAATATGTGCATTTATGTGATGTGTAGAAATAAAGCGAGTATTTTTTTTTTTTATAAATTTCCCACAAGCTTCATTGCTTTGTCAATAACGCATGCCATTGTGTTATTGCTTGTGATCGATCAGTCATCACAGCGCGATCGCTGCTTGATCGACAACATGTGGGGGGCGAGTACTTGATGGCGTATTAAAATAAATAATATTCTGAATATACATACATATACATATACGATATTATTGTTGTATGCAGAAAAAGCAAAAGTGGGAAAATGAAAAAATAGCTATATTTAAGAACGAATATGTGTAGCTAAGAGGGTGTTTGCGAGAGAGCCTTTAGTGAGTTCTAAGGGTAGACTTTAGTTTAGGTTTAGTGAGCTCTTCGATTTTCAAAAATGGTTACAGACGAATAGTGCAACTATAGGTTTTGTACTTATGTATATTTAAGATCTACAATACCTAGCGTCAAACCACCCAGAAGACCAGAGACAAACGGGTCAGATTAACTTTTTATAACCGCTCATAGTAGCTAGAGAGGCATGCTGATGATATCGACATCCTCGAATGAAACACTCGCTCGGTATGAGGCTTCGTTGAATTTGCAAAGAAAGGTAGAACTAAATAAAAAAGCACTCCTCTTCCCTCAGCCTTGAGTATTACGTCAACTTGTGAATCCAGTAATATAATAGGCTTGTCTAATCTTTAGGGGTTAATCAAGAAGATGAAAAAATACTTAAAAACTATTTGTTGCCAAAAATAAGAGAAAAGTAGTTTTTGTAATATTATAGCATTAATTTATTAAGTGACTCTAGATGGGGCTTCTAGTAAAACTGCAAATTTTCTAAATGCCACTTGTGGCCGAACAAAAGCTTGACAACAACAAACATACAAAAATATTTATGAACAGTGTTGCGTTCCATTCTACAATATATCCGTCCGATTGCCCGGCACTTGATGCTTTCGATTGTTGTTTCGTACGTTGTCTCAATTTGTGCTACACGAAGTTATTTTACTTAGACTCGGTTTACGAGAAGCAGATGTTGTCCAAATGTTTTTGCACTGTTGTTGTTTTTTGTGCTGTTGACTTGAATGTTTGCTTTAAAGCAATCTCATTAATTGCCTTTGAAAGTTGGCATTTTTATTCCCGTTCGTTCAACGCATAAATCTCTTATCCACTCATTATCGCCACCCTTTCGCCTCTTTCGCCCCACTTGGACAGTTTGAAGTGTGTAGCATGTGTGTGTGTGTGTTTGTTGGTGGCCACATTAGGCGCTTTGGCAATGCATGCGGTCCGCGTTGTCTGCGGCGATGGATCGCCTGAATTGACAGCCTCACCATTGGCGCACGGGTATTTCACATCTTGGTGCGATTCACAATAGAATTCAACCTACCCCTCGTCGGCGGTGTTAATATTTAATTATAAACGCGATGGAAGATATTTCGCGTACTTGAACTACATTTCCAATCGAAAACAGGCCAATTTCAGGCCAACACACTGACATATTTACGCGCCTGTTTGCTTGAAGAGTATATTAAACGCGAATTCATACAAATATAACAACAATATTGATCATAATGAAAATGAAAATGTGCAAATGGATATGTGCATGGAGAAATGGCCCAAGTGTTGTGTCAGAAAATAGAATAACTCAATTAAATGCGAAATTGTGTGCGATAAAAAAGCTGTTGTTGTTTTTTAGTGAGTCGTTGATAGTTGCTATAAAAAGTCTGAAGGTCATTTCGCGGCTAAAATTTGGGTCAGTAGGAAAGTGGCAGATTTCAAGGGTCTAATAAAGATTTTGTTTTGCTGTGTAATTAATAAAAAAACATTCGTTGTGGATGTAAGGCAAATTTTTCCACTTTTATTAAACAGATGCCGAATTATCGTTGGTATCGTATATGGAACTTTTGAGCTTAAAACTAAACCTAAACTGTATATCCGTCTGTCTGTACATACGCAAACTAGCTCCTGAAGGTATTTTATTTTATTTAATAAATAAATTTAAAAAATGTAAATTTGCAGCATATAATTTACTTTAGTAATCGGCTATTCGTTTTGAAAAAGTTTTGATAACCTTGATCTCATAGCCGATCTGCAGCAGGACCTCCGATAAAAGCTGTCTGACGGTGATGAAAATATATCTGCGTAAAATGATCTCAAATTTAAAAACAAAAAAAAAGTTATTATTACATTAGATGAGTTTGGGTGATGTTCGAAGAACTAGTAAATTTAAATTTTTGACAAAATGGCGGCTTCCCAAACAAATGTCGGTTTTTGCGAAAAAACTTACTCTGCAGAGTAGCTTGAAAATCGAAGCTATTATTGAAAATTCATTCAATCATTATCTAAGAAGCTCGTGTGAAAATTCGGTCGGTCCAATTGCTTCGGAGAAATTTACCTCACAGACTCGGAAGACAGCGCTTCAGGAAAACGCGTTTAAGGTTTGGGAGCTGATTAAACTTGTGCTAAAGAATGCCGAATCAACTTTTCGCAGAATATTCTAAAATATCTGTACATTCGATATACATACATAAATATATTCCAAAAAAATCGATTTTTGGTAATTGCAATTGCATAAAACCTCTTAATCCGAGACGTAGCAATATATTTCTTCATTCCACAATAAATTTAAACAGCAAATTTCCTAACTATGGAAAAATATATTTTTGATAAAAGAATGTTCTTCAAATATTTTTCTGCCAAAAACAGATACAAGTACCGGCAATACGTTTTTGAAATTTTGTAATATTTTTGACAAAATATACTCGTATAACTTGAGAATGCACAAATGTATACTAGGGTTGTCCTTAAATATAGTAAGTTACTAGAATTTCTATTGTTCTTACGTCCAACCTCGCTACGTCGCTAATCAAGGTTGGCTGTCAAAGTAGCTATCATCGTTTAGACAAAGACTGCGAAATAACGCATTTCAGATACTATAAAACATTTTCTACAATATTTTATTGAATAATACCATGTTCTGACCAAAAATTTGAAGTGATTTGATTACATTTAATCTATTCGCTAATCTCGACTGTCCTCACTGCTGTTGGAGAATTATAAAACAGCAGTTTTTGACTAGCCGTTCGAAGCTGTGACATTTTTTCTCGACAAAACTCTATTATATCGGCGTCGGCAGCCTCACTCCACATTACTCTATGTTTTTCGATACTATTTTCTGCTATTTTTCCTTATTTACTTGATATTGCTTTCATTTTTATACTCTCGCAACCTGTTGCTACAGAGTATAATAGTTTTGTTCACCTAACGGTTGTTTGTATCACCTAAAACTAATCGAGTTAGATATAGGGTTATATATATATAAATGATCAGGATGAAGAGACGAGTTGAAATCCGGGTGACTGTCTGTCCGTCCGTCCGTCCGTGCAAGCTCTAACTTGAGTAAAAATTGAGATATCTTTATGAAACTTGGTAGACATGTTTCTTGGTACCGTGAGACGGTTGGTATTGCAGATGGGCGTAATCGGACCACTGCCACGCCCACAAAACGCCATTAATCAAAAACAAATAACTTGCCAAAACTAAGCTCCGCAATAAGATACAAGACTGTTATTTGGTACACAGGATCACATTATGGAGGGGCATCTGCAGTTAAAACTTTTTTTTAAAAAGTGGGCGTGGTCCCGCCTCTAATAGGTTTAATGTGCATATCTCCTAAACCGCTAATGCTATAATAACAAAATTCATTGGAAGCAAATGTTTTTAGCACTTCTATTGACGGTGTGAAAATAGTTGAAATCGGGTGGCAACTCCGCCCACTCCCCATATAACGGTACTGTTAAAAACTACTAAAAGCGCGATAAATCAAGCACTAAACACGCTAGAGTCATTAAATTTTATCTCTGGGATGGTATGAGATGACTTTATAGGAACTGCGTTCAAAATTAGACAGTGGGCGTGGCACAGCCCACTTTTAGGTGAAAACCCATATCTTGAGATCTGCTCAACCGATTTCAACCAAATTCGGTGCATAACGTTCTTTTCATGTTTCTATGTCATAGTGCGAAAATGGGCGAAATCGGACTACAATCACGCTTACTTCCCATGTAACACCATTTTCAATGCCATCTGATTCTTTCACTTTCCACTATGCAAATCAGGTAACAATGACTATATCGGGGTAAAACTTTGCGTGAATAATGCAATTAAAGTATGCCACCCTGCGGCCAAAAATTGTCTAAATCGAACCAAAACTGTTCAAACCCCTAAGTACTAAATATGTGGACCCCAGTGCCTATAGTTGACCTTCTACCGAGAATATCAGTCAATCCACAAAGAAATCTCAAACGAGTATACCATTTGACTTTGCGAGAGTATAAAATGTTCGGTTACATCCGAACTTAGCCCTTCCTTACTTGTTTACCTTTATTTTATTTTATTTGTTTTTCACTTTGACAGTTTGTAGTGTCTAAATTAGATGTAATAAACTTCCTTACTGGCAAACAGATGGCGGAAATTCGGAGTAGATTAAATCAGAGTCACACAGGGAGATTTCGAATAGATTAGATTTAAATCTCCTCGGTAACGAGATTAACAAGTGTAATTTTTGTATGGCAAAATCTTGCTAAATCTAGTAGATAATTTACTCTGCAGCCTAAGTCTTATGATTTGTTGTCGGTCGGAACATGATATAACCTAACATTTTGGAATTCATTTAAAATTTTCTGATTCAACATCAAACACGATCAAATTGTATGTGATACATAGCTTGACTGTGCTACACTGAACAAAATTTGTACATTTGTGAACTACCCTAATATTTATATACACACAAACAAAAACATATGTATGTGTGGTAAAATTAATTTATTGGACTCAAAAGAGTGGAAACTCAAAAGTTCAGCAATTTATGTCCGTCCGAAATAAATTGCCACACATTCGTACTTTAAACGGAAAATATGCGAGCTCCAACAATGAGGTTATGTATTTGTGTTTATGTTTTGTCATTTGGTTTTATCCACGAATTTACAATATTTAAGTTTACATTTGTAGCTTAACTGCTGATTTTTACAAAATCTATGTGCATAAATTAGCAATAAAA